TGATGGCGGAACAAACCAGTGTTGCCCCTCTTACACTATGAGAATTTTTATGGTGCCCCCAACAGCAGAGACCTAAACTAGTGACTGATAATCCGTATTTAAGTCATACAATACGAATTTGGGATAGACAGAGGAAACGTCTGGTACCCTCCATTTCACAACTATCAACTTATACAAATCAGGGGTGGTTTCCACCAGGCCAGGAGCCGGGGGCATTTCAAATCTGGACGGATGCGGGCTTCAATCAACTCCAAGATTTGGTTAAGAAAGGAAAAATAATGAACAAGAATCTTTCTGAGGAGCGAATCGGTAAACCTATCCCATGGCTCAGATACCATCAATTAAGGAGTCTTGTAGAGTATTTGGCTGACAAAAAGATTTTTAAGAATTCCAAAACTCAATTTAAAATACTGTTAGAAACACTTTCTGACTTCTCAAAACACCTCCTTTCAAAAATATATAAAATCTTAACAGAATTTAACAGCACAACGAAAATGGCATTCCAGTAGGCCTGGCAACGAGATTTACAAACTGAACTGTCTGAACAACAATGGTCTCAGATTTGGTCATCTAAAGCTAATAAATAAAAAAAATTTAAAGTAAGAATGCAATTTTTAAAAACAGTTTCCCAATGGTGGTATACTCCTAGCCGCCTAAACCACGTGAATAAAGTATATTCACCGTTGTGAATATGCTGGAATATGTTGGAAAAAATGTGGGGCGGTAGGAGATTATATACATTGCTGGTGGCAATGCCCCCATGTGCAAAGCTTCTGGGTGCAGATAATCTCCAAAATTTCGAAAATAACAGGACAGAACATCCCGCTTTCCCCTAAAGTTATCCTGTTACATTTTAGAGATCCAGCTCACGATGAAGAACCGCTACAACAGCTAACATCATACCTTACGGCGGCACAAACCATTATCGTAGCTGCCTGGAAGTCACCGAAGTCTCCAAGTTTAGAGGCCTGGAGAAATAAAGTGTGGGAACAATTCCTGATGGATAAGTGACACTTTAAATACAGTTCAAATGAAACTCGGTACAACGAAATCACTCTTTGAGCGCACCTGGTTCCCTTACCTTCAATATATGACTGAGAAGGATTTACTCCCAATCCGGCCTATGCTTCTTGGTTATACTTCTGAACATAAAACAGTATAACGTACTCCATTATTAAAAACTTTGTACTGTATATAACAATATAGCTCTTATCAGTATTTTCATAACAATAGTTTTTAGTTGATATATATTTATTTCGTATAAACTTAGCAATGATCTTTTTTTTAAGTGCCTTTGGATTTAGACTTCAATGTAGCTATAACTTTTTAAAGCAAAGTGTTTATGGTTTGTTATTTATACTCTGCTTGGTTATGTATATTTTTGAAGTAGTATGTTGTAATAAATTTATTTTTTTAAAAAATCTTCTTTTTCAGTTTCAGGAACTCCCTGGAATCTGAGGATCATGTTGGCCTTTTCCATTTGCAACTGTAACAGATGGTTTTCTTGGAGGTTTTGTTTTGTTTCCACATCTCCCATTCTTTTCTTCATTTTCTTGTTTGCGGTGTCCATAACTATAATTTTCTCAGTCGCCTGCTCCACTTTCTTCTCTGTTTCTGCCAGCTGGCGCTGCTGTAGAGCGAAGCTTTGGTTTAACAAGGTCAGTTGCTGGTTAATACCATTGAATTGCTCCATCATCGGCTTGAGCATATCCGCTAAGATCTTCATGACGTCTGCTCCCTCTTCCGGTTTTGGGCTTTTAGCTTTCCTCGGGAAACCACGATTTTACAATTTTGTTTCCAATTTCAAACCGCTTCGCAAGGGCTCGAAAAGCTCATCGCCTCACTATCGGCACTCACGTAAGACTCTCAGAATAAACTCGGTTTACTTCCTCCCTTCCCCCTTCAATACGTTTATCTGTCCATGCGCTTAAGAGGCGTCCCTCTTTGCACTCCGCTTTTCCCACGGGGGGGGGGAATTCGCTTTTTTAAAGAACTCCGTTTACTTTGAACTCACGTTCATTGTTGGTCATATTTCTGACCTCCCTCACATCATTCGTTATTCCACTCAATCTCCCGCGCTTGTCCCGGTCGAATTAGCTTGTGCCCAAAGGCCACACAATGGCAGGACCGTCAGGGCGGAGGGAAGCCTCGATTCTCCGGCATCGAGCCATCGAAGAGGCTAACCCTCAAAAGCCCTCTGGCCTAGAGCCTATCACAAAGGCTTGGTGGGGGTGCCACTTGAGGTAGCACCCCTCCATGCTGCTGGTGTGCTAATAGCTCCCCTGAGGTCCGGGGAGAGCGACCGCCATCGCCAATCCACAAACCGGAAGTCATGCCTCAACTATTGATACAAGGTTCCAAAGACTCTAAATCAAAGGGGACTTATGTTCCTTACCTGAAGACAACACTTTTTGCTTGGGTATGAGAGGTCCTTGGTTAAAGTTGAAGAAGACTATGACTCTTTGAAGCTGGTTACTGGAGTGTTCCCTCTAAGCTGAGTTAGCGTGAGCTAGCTCACAGTTTCTTAGCCTCCAGCTCACAGACTTTTGTCTCTTCTCAGGAAGGATGGCTCCAGAGCAAACTAATGTATGCAGTAGCTAAATTGCTCACTCACAACTTTAATGCCAGTAGCTCACAAAGTAGAGTTTTTGCTCACAAGACTCCACAGCTTAGAGGGAATATTGCCTGTCTGTATGTTTGTATAGAAATTTTGATTTCTGCTTTCTATAATCCATGCCTTCTCCTGTAATGTCTTTCTGATAACATGCTGTGTCTTGCTTCCTGTTGAAGCCAAATGGCCTCAATGGCCATGCCATAAACCCACATTCTTTCACACTTTCATGCCAAAAGCCAGAACCCATGGCTACACTTTCTGGCCCGACATGCGACAAGTCACGTACTAAATGAAGTAGCTGGAGTTTGGGTCACCTGACTGCAGGAGGAGTTCCCAAACTTCTAGCCTATCCCCACACGTAGCCATGACAACAATTGGGCACTCCCATTGGAATTGGACTATAATTGTTTGATCCCAATGAGAGACAGTCTCTTGCTCTCTGCTCCTGTTCTCTCTGCTTGTTTTATGGCACCTAGAAATGCCGTCTCGTGAGGGACAAAGAACTGTTTTGTGAATTGGACCACATGGTTGAGCAAAGATGGATTTTTCCTTCAAAATCCCTTGGACTGTTTGGATATTCCTGAACTTGGTAAATATGTATCTTTTACTGTGTAGTTAAGGCAAATCACCTTAGGCTTGTTATTTTGGTAAACTCTGGTAGTCTACGTTATGTTCTGTACTGAATAAAAATTATTCTTGCTTCTAAATGGTTTCTGATGTTGTACCTGAGTTCCAAGTCTAAATCTTGTGGCCTAAACGCTCTCCACACATGCTACCTTGGTAAGAGTGAGTTGCTAATGTGTTAAGCCCTAGATTCCAGCTGAGAGTTTTGAATCTCTGCTCTGAGCTGGAGGGGACTCTAGTTGAAGAGGTTCTGGTGGCAAACTGTTCTGAAATCCAGAGAGGGTATAGCCTACCTCTTGGGTTGTTTTTTAATGTACTGTAAAAGTACAGGATTACCTCTCATCCCTGGACTGGCGTGAGGGGCTTAATCCTGTACAATGTTATCATTTTGCTTATGCCATTTTGAGTATAAAACCTTATGTTCTTCCTTGTATTATTCAGAAAGCAGTTGTTCTTGGTGGGCAATTTGTTGCAATAAATATAATAAGAACTTTTCTCTTCACTGGCACTTCACTTGTGTTGTTCTTTTTTGGGCCTGGGGACACGCGAGCCACTTTTGTGGAACACATTTAAATAACTAATTAAAATTACCTGACTGGCAGCTCAGCGGTTAGTAATATTATAGTATACACTGAGTTTATGCCAGGGAAGGCGGTGGATCACCCTGATGGAATAACTCATCCACTCCTGGCACCAATAAATATATCAACTTTTAAGTTCTTTACCATATATTTGATTTGCTCCAATTCATTCAGTCTGTCTAAACAATTACTATGCTCCTCATGAATTTGCAATATATGTATCTGCCTAACAAAATGATCAATTTTCTATTGCAGTAGTTAAGTGCGCGGACTCTAATCTGGGAGAACCGGGTTTGATTCCCCACTCCTCCACTTGCACCTGGCTGGATGATCTTGGGCAAGCCATAGTTCTGATAAGAGCTGTTCTTGAAAAAGAGCCGGTTTCTGTCAAGAGCTCTCTCAGCCCCACCTACCTCCCAGGGTGTCTGTTGTGGGGTGGGGGAGGGAAAGGAGTTTGTCAGCCGCTCTGAGACTCCTCTGGGTAGTGAAGGGCCATGGGGTATAAAATCAATCTCTTCTTCTTCTTCATACAGATCTTAAAAAATTTCCCACACTCTTGAGATATTTTTCCAGGTGTAGTTAATTTTTCTCCTGAATTCATAGTAATCTGTGGGCATTCATAACTCCAAGATTTCTCTTCCAAGAGTTTAGCTGTCTCCCTGGTTTATTTGCAAGCTCGAATGACTGCCTACCTCTTAACAACTTCTTCAATGCCACATGAGCATCTAACAACTTAAGCTCATTTCTCAATGTACACAAATCCATTTTATCCTGTTCTGTGAACTCCTTTTTAAACTCTCTCCTTTATATCAATATTGTTCATCACTTCTACATTTACTTCATTATTCCTCTTATACCTGTAGGTCTCTTGATAGATCAGACCCCTTATGTAGGCCTTAAAGCAACCCAAACTGTACCACATCTTGTATTTCCAACTTCATTAACACTGAAAAAATATCTTGTAATCTCCTTAAATTTTTTAACTGCTGAATCTATTTGCAATAAGGAAGCCTCCACTCCCCATCTTTTCTTCCCAGACACTTTCTTCAGGGACAAAGTAGCCGTAAGTCTTTCCACTCTGCCTCACTTTTTTGCGAACATCGAGTCTTTCAGGGATCAAGAGTACTTGAACAGAGCAGACAGAAAAGCACACGGATCCTTTGAAGAATTTTATTTGTGAGTAGAACTGAATGATACAACAAAGGAAGAAAAAATACAAGACTCTTCTGCTTCCCTCCCACCCCCACCCCCGTGTGCCACACCCCATACACAACTAGATTTCATATTGTAATACAAAGAATCAAGAACTACAAAATTAGAACTTCAAAATCATTGCATATGTGGTCAAAAAGATAATTTGAGTCCCTACATTTTCTAACAGAAACATGAAGCAATGGCTTTTGTGATGCAATTTCAACTCAGGCCATGAGACACAGCGGAGCGAAATCGGGACTGGCTGCTTAGTGTTCACAGGACATACAAAGTTAGGAAACAAGCTGAAAGCCATTAGTGCCATGCAGAGTCCATAGGAAACACGGACAGTTTCAGTCTCTCCTCTTCTTCTGCAGAGAACAGCGCTTGCCCATTTTCCTGCAGTGGTGGTATGACTACCATCAACCCTGGCTCCCTGTAAACCTTTCTGTGTCAGTCTTACAGAGGCAAATTCGCATTCTTCTTTTAAATGGCTCCAAGATACCTATGTGGAACCGAAATACAGGTGTTTTGTTTCTAATGAAGCTGCACCCAGTCACTGAACACATTCTCCTAGGGTAAGGTATTCAACGCGAGCTACTATGCGCCCGGCTTTTTTCGTTACACAGCCCTGATGTGGTGCATCATCCAGTATTCAATTCATCATCCAGTATTCAATTTAAAAAAAGAGCCCCCCCCCCCGGACCTCGTCGTATGTGAATGCACCTGCTTCTGTTACAATCAGATGTAAACCCAGTTTGAAGTTCTCAAGGAATCCCAATTATTACAGTAAAATGTTCACTGTGTCTGGAACACTCACACACACACACACCCCAGCTAAAAGAAGAGAATGCTGAGGACATGTGAATATGGCAAGCTCTGCCAAGACATGCCACTTGCTGCCGGCATGTGGCAAACCTTACCAGGTTTCTCCCGGCACTGTTTGAATCGCCACTGGGAAAACCCACTGCTGGAGGTGGCGGCTGCAGCCATCAATCTTGCCCAGGCTCCTTCAAGCCAATGTGCCAGGGACCACAAGCCCGGATCAAGGTGTGTCTTCGCTACCAGGGAGTTTTCATATCCCGCACTTGAAGCTAACCTCCAGATTTCTAGGAGGAGCTGCAATACTACAAATTTGCTAGAAAATAAATCAGTGAAATAGTTTATTATTCTGTGGAAACTTCATTAGAAAGCAGGCCAGGTGCTCAGCAGGAAACACAAGCAGCTTAATTCTTCTTAGATAAAACAAGTAGGTTTAGTATCTCAGCTATGCTTCAATTCAAAACAGGAAGGGAGGAAGACCACATTCTTTGAAGCCTCAGGACAGCACTGCTTCAGTGCAGAAGCAGATCTATTCAGTTCAATAATACAAACTCTCAAAAATATAAATGCAGAGTCATCTCCCAGCCGTCAGTACTTCGGAAGCCAATTGCAACCAAGCTAGGATCTGGGACAAGGTAACTTTTAGAGTGAGCGGACAGCAGCACACTTTAAGCAGGACACTGTGGAAAGAGCTTGCCTTCAATATATAAAGCAACGTGGGCTTGAAAAGTTTACACGCACAGAGTGGTTCAGTGTCTTCTTCCGATGTTTACATACTTTTACATACTAGGAATAAACCGGCTTAGCTGCTGCGACATACACAGGATTAGCACCTTCTGCTTGTTAATTTTCCATTATAATCTTAAGCAATCAAGCTATAACTTGAGGGTGTTACTTGTTCTGCTTTTTACATAAGACAAAAAACACTCAATACAATCTGATACATTCTAGTGGTTAATAAACTTAAAATTCTAACACATGACAGCATTTCTGAAGGTGTTTAGGAGTCAGTCTTCTTTTTGTTTTTCTTCAGAAAGGAAGGCGTGCGGAACTTCTTCTTCTTCTTGGACGGAGACTTCCCAGGAGACTCATCGCTGCCTGCGTCCGCCGTCGCCCCCTCCTCAGCCTGTGGGGGCAACGCTTCTTCCCCAGGCGGAACTTGGGGGTCTTGGTTTTCCGCGGGACACTCAACTTGGCCTGGGGTCAGATCTTTATCATGTTTCCCTTCCTCTTCTTTTCCAGAGGTGGGGAAGCTGAGGGCTTCCGAAGGCTCGTCAGGGGTGAGGTCTGGGAGGCTTTGCTTGAAGGTTGCAGCATCACTGTCATCTTTGTAAGGCTGCTCAGGCGGCCTCTCTAGTGGGGCAATCAAAAGGGAAACACCCGTTAGTGTGCGCTGGGCGCTTAAAGGGGCGCCGGCAGAGAGAGACACTCTGTGCAAAGAACTACATGCAGAGCCAGGCACTGGAGTCCCTACGTCAGTGGCTGCTGAGCCACTCGAAACCCTTCCCCTCCGGGTTCATGGAGTCAAAACTCCATCATGTAGATCTACGCCCTAAATAGAGCGACAAGATGTGGGGAAGCCTGGTTTGTGTTCAAAAAATTCCCTGTTTTGCTGGGTCCCTGCCTTCCTTACAGAACCAAAGACACCGGGGGATACATATAGAAGTGTGTTGCTACTCATTCGACATCCAAAATTTCATCTTATTATAACTTGGAGGATTACTTTGCTTCTATAAACTGAGCACAAGCTTGTTTCCCTTCCTTCCCCCAAAGCCACTGGGAGCGCTGGTCCTCGGGGCAAGCAGCACAGATCGTTTCACACCTTCTTGTAGGAGGCGCTGCCCGCCCATCCACGAAAGAAAGGGAGCAACTGACACAGTGCCTTCCCCATGGACGATGGGAAGATTAGCAGCATTTAAGATTCCAAACTCACATCGGCCCCTTGAGGCTGGTTCGGTTTTTAAAAAGGCAAGGAGAGCAGAGGCAGGTGTCAGCTCCTGCTTATATTATGGCCCCGACTTCATTTTGAAGAGGGCTTGTGAATTCTTCTCAATAATTCCTGGAGCTCACGGAACTAAATTTATAACAGATAACAGATCTCATATGAGACACTGCAATGGAAGAAGGGGGAAAGCCATGATTTCCCTTTTTCTGCTTTTTCATGAATAGCTCTCAGGCTAATTTTTATTTAAACAGCAAAAAGATGTTTCACTTCACTATCTCACTTCTAGAGATTCAAGTGGGTCGCCGTGTGGGTCTGAAGCAGAAGAACGAAGTTTGGGTCCAGTGGGGGAACCTTTAAGGCCAACAAAACTTAATTCTGGGTAGAAGCTTTCGTGTGCACACTCTGCGCACACGAAAGCTCATACACAGAATAAAACTTTGTTGGCCTTAAAGTTGCCACTGGGCTCAAACTTTGTTGTATCACATCTACAGATTTTCACTCCTCAGATGGAGAGAGGGTATGAGAGCAGAAAACTACTCAAGGGGGGAAAGGGCATGAATGAAAGAGAGGAGGCTCATCTGACAAGTATCTCAAAACAGGAGACAGGTAGATCAAGTCCGTGTCACCCACATTTTTGCCTCCACATTTTGCATGCAGGAGGAAACAGAAGGAGACCAAGTCACAGCAACATGCACGCCACCCAAAGGAGGGGCAGCCGCAGTGACATTTTATCATTACTACTGCCCTGAAAATCTCCCAAGTCATTATTTCAATGCTTAGTTCATTTTCCTTTTTGGCATTTGTATTTCACAGTTGTGCACGAGGTGGTTTTTTTATTTGTAGCTTAGAATCTGAAGAATTTGGGGTTTGTTAGCTCAGCAGTTAACAACCACTCCAAACTCAGCAAACCAAAAGCGTTAGAAGTTTTAAACTGGGTTAAGATGATTTAAAAGCAAGGGTGAAAGGAGAAAGCCATCTGGAGGGTTACAAACTGCCTATCAGAGCTGTAGTATGATTAACTCGGCTGAGAATACTCCAGAGCATAGAACTGTTCTTTGTACATCTAGCATGAAAGCTAATTATTTCATGTCAACATGAAATTTTGGCCATGGTAATTAGAAGAATAAGTTTCTTATTTTATCAATAATAAAAAATAGCCATGCTTTTTATGAGAGTAGGAAAAATAACTGGCACTTAAGGCCATTTCCACTGCACTACTCATTAATCACAAGGGAAAAACAAGGTTGAAATTTTCGAAGTTTTCTTCAGATAATTAAACACATCAAATGATTACATTTTACTTGGAAGGAATTTTCAAGTCACAAATAAACTGAAAATGTTGCAAAATTTGAAATCTAATGGATCCCCAGGAATCAGCACTATAATGCTATGTAGAAATAATCCTTGTGGGTACAAAAGCCTCATGGGAAATGCCATTATAGTCACCCCACAAAGAAGCCAACAATATATGGTTCTATTTAGAAAGTTGCCCCAACGTGACTGTAGTTTAATCGACTCCGCTGAAAGTATTCCACAGGTCCCAGATGCGGTGAAGGTGAAAGGCAGCTGCTTATCTGCCGTGGATGTTGTGCGAGTGATCATCCATACGGCTGCACCCCTGGGACCCCGGCCCGCACAGAGCCTCCTGTGGGACTTGGGACACCTCAGCGTGAAAGAACTTTTGGTGGCTGGCTCCATCCTCTCTGGAAGAGGAGGATACCCACGGAGGATACCCACCACAAATGCCTAGAGATTACTTATTCTGTGCAGACAAGAGGAGGAAGGCTCAAGTGCCCACCTCACAACTGGCTATGAGTCAGGGAGGGCATTAAAAATGCTTGGGGAAAGCTGCGTGTGAGAGCCCTGCAAAGCCAGCACAAGCGTGCCAAGGATCGTTTATCTGAAACATCAGGTTTACCCCTCTAAGGTAATTTTGGATTTCTATTAGGGATTTAACACCCCCCCCCCAAAAAAAACCCCAGAGCATACTATCCTCCCCCCCCGCCTCATTGCTGGAGAAATTAATCCTTTGGTCACAAAATCGGAATTTCAATGTCCCAAAAAGGAAAGAATCTGCTTTTTAAAAAAATAAATAAATCTGAAGCCATGTTCAGGTTCAACTAGCAGTACAAACGCAGCTCTTGCTAATATCACTCTAACTGATCTGTTCTGGTAAAGCAACTGAAGTAGTTAAGCATAATTTAAAATTTAAATACCCAACTTACCAAACCAAGTACCAACCCAACACAAAAAAAAAACATTACAAAAGATGCCAGAGAATGAAGCCAAGCACAGAAGAGTCAGAGGAAGCAGCAGGGACAAGTTGGGGTGAGGGGTGGGGGGTGGGATGGTACTTACTATGGCAACAGGTACTCTTTAGCATATCCACCTCCTGTTTGTAACGCAGCCACAAGAAGAAAAAAGCACAAGTAGAGAATCGATGCATCCATCACAGCCATTGTGTTATATTAAAAGAATGGTCAGAACCATTCTTATAGAATACAGAATGAGGTGGAATGAACAGACAGCTTTGTAACAGACAAGTGATAATTCTCAGGGTAAAAGGAAAACACACAACACACCTTAGATTACACCTGTTTGAACACTCAACTGATGTTTACCCAAATCGCTGAAATATGGTTAGCAGAGGTCTGTGGCATTGTTCTTGTCACACAGAGACCTTAAGGGAAACAAACGTTTAACCCGGCATCTAAACTGAAACAGAAAACTATGCCCAGAGGTGTAATCCAGTTACAATAATGCTTAAGAAATGTGCAACAACCAAGCAGAATCACTCAGCGTTTGCCAGCACACACTCAGTCCAGCGTGCACAGAGGTTCTTGGGTAAGCAGACCCCCCCTCCTCTCAAGAGAAGGCAGCTCCGCATAGGCATCCATCTGCACATGAAGACCTGCCTCTGCTGAAGTGAGTACAAGCATGTGCGCATGTGCGCAGCAGAGCCTACAAGCCTACACATCCACAGACAATTGTGGGATCACAACAATCTTATCTGCTTCAAACTCAGTGTGGTGAGGAAGTGTAAACATGATCAGATTTAATAAGTACTCCAAGCCAGCCAATGCTATGATTTCTATGCAGTGGCTATTCTGTAGACTAAAATAATCCCGGATCAGAAGAGCTTCAAAAATCTCTCATAATACCGACTGGTGGTGGTTGAGTTTCAGGGTAAAGTGCAAAATGATGCACATTGGGACAAAAATCCTAACTTTCCATCCATAGTGACAGGGTATGTACTGGCTGTGATGATCCAAGAAAGAGGAGATCATAAAGAAAGCTCAGCGGACATTCACTGCAGTGTGTTTCAGCAACAAAAAGGGCACACCACTCCAGGCATTACTGAAAAAACAACAACTGGGGGGGGGGGGAAATCAGAGAGCAAGTAGCTCATTGCAACTCCAGCACAGCCATATTTCAAACACCATACATCATTCCAGACACTCCCATCTCAAAAAGAGGTGATAAACCTGGGAAAGACCCATGAAAATGATTGTATGGTTAGAGCACTTTCCATGCACATGGGACTTCTTTGCTCATAAAACTGAAGGGGCAAAAGACAGAAGTTTACAGTGCTGTCCCTCGTGCTGAGAGAGAGAGAGAGAGAGAGAGAGAGAGAAAGAACGAGGTGCTGAGAGAGAGAGAGAGAGAGAGAGAGAGAGAGAGAGAGAGAGAGAGAGAATATGTCTCCCTTGAAGCCACCCAAAGAAAGTGACTGACTGTGAGTTCGAGTCACACAGGTAACCTTTGAATTCTCTGGCACTGGTCACAAGCTTGTCTTTTAAAAAGATCAGACAAATTCAGGGAAGAAAAGTTTATCAGCGGCTCTCATCTCTGAAATATTAAAAGGTGTTTTGGCCGATCCTTCCGGTGCTCAGGGACCACTGGCCGGCTGCAGGCGGAAATGGAACACTGTGTTCTGCAGACCTTGGTCTGAGCCAGCAAGCCCATTTTTACGTTCTTCGTGCACATTTCTTTATTATTGTGAGCACAACCACGAACACATTCAGCTACAGAGCTCTGCACCATCAAATACAAAAAAAATATTTCCCCCAGAAGTCCTAGCTGATGTTATTAACTGAAGCATGAAAACACAGGAACGAACCCCTTTAGCTCTACTGGCCATACCTTCCTGTAGCTTGACCAGAGTGCTGGGTGGGATAGAAGCCACAGGGTGGTCAGCAGAAGCCTCTTCTCTTGGTTGGCTGGCATCATCTGAATCTTCTACAAAATGTACAGATATACAGAAGTTAAACAGACCTCTACTCAGTCAATGGGGCTTGGCAAGAAGAAAAGTTTTATCATAGGCACACAATATCTTTGCTGATGGAGAATTCTGCCCAGAAGCCAATTTCTACTGTGAATAGAAATGTGAACGCCACTGAATTACAGAGGTGGCCCCTTCCTTGGCATACATGCCACAGCAGCACCCTTATTGGACGAGGAAGGCGAGCCCGCTGACTCAGCTGAGCCCGAGGCCAAAGGTGCTCTGAACCCCTCCATTGGACGCAAAACTTGAAGAAAGCTCATCCATTAGGAACAGAAACTCGATCATTTCAAAATGCTTCCTCATTTGTCCAACGAATGCATTCATAATCGCATGATATGGGGAAACCAATAAAACGTAAATCACAACAATGAGGTCTGCTCAGCACATGTCCACCTAGCCAAGAACAAATTCAATTGAAGAGCAGCTCCATGGATAAACTAAACTCCTCCTTTTACAAATAGCAAAACATACTCTGCAGACAGCTAAACAGTCGCTAACTGCTCAAGTCTCCCAGATTCAGCAACAGGGGCATCAACCAACACCTCCAGATGGGAACTTATTTTGCTGTCTGGTGCTGACATTTTTGGGTCTGGCGCTTCTGCAGGATGCAGGATATGTTCCAGCCAGGCACAATAAGGGGTGCTGTTCTAAAGCTGAGATCCTGCTGATCTTTCCAAATCTAGAGAAGAATTCAGAGCTATTGTTGCAGCAGTTTAGTTGTGACGATTGCAAAATACTTTATTTTAGGACTTTTGATTCTCAACACTTCTGTGTGTAAACTGGCTTCTCGGCAAATGGCAAAATCTTCCTTGTCATGTTAGCAAAACCACATAAAACACCCTTGGGAACTATTCCACACCCTCGTGGCAAAGGGGGTAGAAAATGAAAAGAAGACAACCACCAGAAGTGGGAGGCAGGAGGACGTCCGGGAAACACCTCCACCCGGCCGTTCGCTTTTGGGCTTAACAGCAGCACAAAGCACAGGGCACAGTCAGACTCTCCCCCTAGAACACAACAACCTGTATTATTTACAGATGTTGACAGGCTGAATTAGAAAATAAAGCAGCTATCATTTGAGGTGGAAATGCAAAAACAACAGCACATTTTAGCTGACTTGACAGAAACATTAAAAGCACCAGGACAGGGCAGGCGACAGGCTTCAAATGCCCCCGGGCGACGCCCCTGAGCTGCCAAAGGTCATTCTCTGTTTCTAAGTCATTTACTTCTAGCAGCACATCTTCTAATCATTTCAAGTCTTGTGATGTCTTTCCAAGCATCTCAAATTGTCCTCATCGAATTCCTCTAAATATCACCCCCCCCAGCCCAATTTGGATTGCTACAATGCTCGTGTGTGTGTGTGGGGGGCTTAATCCTTCACCCAAGGTAAATTACCCCCTCCCACTCAGAGAGACAACATCTCTGGTAGGGAAAAAAAGCCACAGATCACTCATTTCTTATCTAGTTTGGCACCAGCACAGCTTTGTACCAAGGTGGGGCTTCCAAGTATTGAAACTGCCTGCGATGCAAGGAGTCCCTTGCCCAGCTGACAGAAGGTCTCTCGGGGGGGTACTGGGGAAGGAAAGCGGCAAACCTTTTATCGATTTAAATTATAAAAACAAAAGAAAAACAGTGTAACTAAAACAAGAATTATAAGACCACATAAAAGGTCACAATTTTTAAAAACCTAATTACGACTGCTAATAAATAAATACTACATGGGCCAAATGCGGTCCTAAATAAAACAGTCCTCAACTGCCTCCTGAGGATCAACCGTGAGGAGCCTGCCAGACCCACCTCCCAGGGGACGCCGCTCCATAATTGTGGGGCTGCCACTGAAAAGGCCCTCTCGTGCGCCCACCAGACAAATGTGTTTGTTTTGTGGGATAATCAGGAGGGTCTCTCCCTGCAATCTTAATTCACGGGCAGGGCCGTAAGGGAGAAGATGCTCCTTCAGCCATCCTGGCTGCAAGCCTTGCAGGGCTTTGAAGGACAAAAACAACACTCTGAATTGAGCTCAGGAGCAGGTCGGAAGGCAGCATAATTGCTGTAGCGTCAGGGCCACAGGCTCCCCGTAGCTGGCCCCAAGCGGCAGTCTAGCCACAAGGCTCTGCACGAGCTGCAGCTTCTGAACACTCTTTGAGGAAAGCCCCAAGTCGAGTGCGTTGCAATAGTCCAGTCTACACATAGCTAAGACGTGGATCGCTGTGGCGAGATCAGACTGAACCAGGAATGGGTGCCGTTGATGCAATCGCCGAAGCTGGGCAAACGCGCTCTGAGCCAGTGCAGCCACCTGGCGTTCCAAGGGAACGGCTGTGTCGGGCAGCATTCCCAGACTGTGAACCTGCCTTTCCAAGGGGAGGATAATCCCATTCAAGACAGGAGAGGTTTTGGGTCCCTGGTCTGCCTCTCTGCCAACCCAGAGAAGATCTGTTTTGTCGAGATTAAGTTCCAGCTTTTTCACCCTCATTCAGCCCAGTACTTTTGACTTCTTGCATTTGGTCAGACCCCTTCCAGGAATGTGCAGTTTTGTGCTTTCCAGCGCTACACCCGGAGGAGCCTTTACGCTTCCTCACCGCTGGTTCCCCACAGTGATGCTTTGTGTCCACATTTAAACAATGCCAGGGGGCTTGGTGTCCATGAACAATATTGCTTTGCATTTTTGGTGCCAAGAAATGCTGTAGCACAATTGTGTCATAATACCTCCAAGCATCACATTTCTCTGTACCCTGAGCCAGAAAACTGTTGAGTTTTTGTGAGGTGGCCAGAAAAACTGCAACCCAATGGGATATTCCCATTTAGGCTCTGCTGAGGGCCACTCTGGTAGCAACAGCGGCGCAGCACACGCCTCTCAAGTGGAACAGGTGTCACCCCACCAGACTCTGAAGGCAGAATGAGCATCGGCCCATATGGGAACACCAGGGCAAGCCGGGTGCGCTGAACTCTACACACACACACCCAACTTTATCCCACAGCAATCCAAACGAATGTTTGGCAAACACCAACCTTCTGACTGCTTCTGCTTCCTTTCCACTTCTTTGCAGTATTCTTCCAGTTCCCTGTCTGTGAGCTTGTTGAAGGGGTTTGGTCCCGTCGTGCTCACAATGACTCTTGGCTGATACTCCTTCTCAATGATTGCTTTGGAGGCAGTCACCAGTTCCCCCTGGTTGAAAGTAAAGACACCAATTAGCCTTGAGAGTGTGGACAGTGCCTCAGGGCTAAAACAACAGAAGAGATATGGTGCAAGTCTGATCAAAAATAAAACTCAGAAGATTTCCATTCTGTTTAAAGAAAGTAAGGTGTACCCATTTTACTGTATGCTCCTGGCACCAGAGAGGCCGGCGATCCGCTCACATTCATAGCAGTGGCACATGAGCCGACTGCCTAAGAACAAGCACTCCAGGAAGCACCCAGTGCCAGGCGGGTGGCCCTGCTGGCCTGCTGCAGAAGAGGCCGACTCAAGCCCAGGGGCCCCTTAGAGACAGACCAGACAGGTACCCGGGGGGGAGAGGCTTCCGGAGACGGAGCTCCCTGGGAGTCCCGCGGCTCTTAAGGTGCCACTGAACTTGAGCCGAGCTCTGTATGGCCAGTGTTTCTCCCGAGCCACATCCACCCTTGAGCAACATTATCAAAACGCAGTATCAGGCCTAAGACTGGCCATATACTTTATGTTTAAAAGCATCCTCTAGGCAGCAGATGGGACAGATGTCCTAAATTAGCCAACCGCCTCGTCAAAAGGAAGGAAACACTTTTCCAACACCACGTTCATATGTGAGGGGATATAATTAAATATCTTTAATTTATTTACTTCATTTATGCCCCACCTCTCTACTCAGCTCGCACCCGAACCAGCTCACGTCGTTCTCCTCTCCTCTGCTTGATCCTCACAACTACCCTGCGAGGTAGGTTAGTCTGAGAGAATGTGACTGGCCCAAGGTCACCCAGCAAACTCCCATGTTGGAATCTGAACCTGGGTTTCCCAAATCCTAGTGTGACACTCTAACCACTAAGCCACACAGGCTGGTCTGGAAACCAAGCCAACTTCTCTGTGCACAGCACACCAGTGCCCCGGCACTGGATTGAAAGGAGGGAATTCATCCCAAGAAAACTCATTTTCTGTCTGTTCCTCGGGCAAGATGGCAGCTACATCCTGCCCCCCCCCTTGCAGTCCATGAAGGGCTTACCTCAGATGAGGACTTTTTCATTTACCTTGAGTTTTTCATCTAGCAAGCTTTCCTCAAGTTGTGGGGAGGGTTGCACCTCCCCAACGTATTCTCTTGCTCTTAAAAATACTGAACAAGCTGTCATGGTTTTGACCTTGATCACAGAATGCTATTATTTCCCCTCTACTATAGAAAGAGATGATCTCAGCCTTATAAAACAATGTTGAACAGCATGGATCCACAACCTTTCTAAGCCTGTGGACACCTTTGGAATTCTGACTTGGCATGGTGGGCGCAGCCGCAAAATGGCTGCTGCAAGCAGGTGGAGACAGCCACAAAATGGCTGCCACACCTTACCTTCAGTCACGCAGTGAAGATCCTTGTGCTGTGGTGGCAGCTGCTACTAAAGCAACTAAAAAAAATCTCCAGTGGCCAGCAGAAACCTGGCTGGGCAAAATCCCCATTTAACCCTACTTTCTAAGAACACTTTGTGGGCACCACAAAAGGTATCAGTGGGCGACACGGGCACCCTGTTTGGGACCCTTGTTATGCAGGATGTCCAGATAGTTCAATATTATGAATAAAAGAAGTTACACAGGCCATTTGAAAAATTTACTTCAGCCATTTAATCAATTGACACACTTCCATACATTCAACCAGACCAAAGAGATTATTCTAAACGGAGGTACTTCATTTCAAGATATGAAAAAGAAAAACAGGTTGCTTACCTGTAACTGATGATCTTCGAGTGGTCATCTGTGCATTCACACCTCTGGGATATAGTGCGCCTGTGCCGACTTCGATCGATTCCTCTTGAAAGCGAAAGGGATTTTCGTGCCCGCTCCCCAGTCACGCGCCGCCCCCACTGCGCATGACCAAAGGAGGGGCACGACAATCCCGCCAGTTCCTTCTGACCACTGCCATCAGTCTCAGAGTAATAAAAAGGAGAGGACCGAAAGCAGAGGGGAAGCAGGACGGGTGGTGTGAATGCACAGATGACCACTCGAAGATCATCAGTTACAGGTAAGCAACTTGTTTATCTTCTTCGTGGTCTCTGTGCACATCACACCTCTGGGAGATTAGCAAGCAAAAACAGGCCTACCTAGAGGAGGGAGCTGAAGCACCTAGACTTGCGCCGCCTGCAACACTGCCCGTCCCACCACAGAACGTTGATGAAGACGCACATCCAGGGCGTTATGCTTCACGAACGTGTGGGGGGTAGCCCAGGTTGCTGCTTGACACATGTCAGTGAGCGACAACCCTCTCAGGAAGGCTCCTCAGAGCAAGCCCAGAAGTGTCTGTTTGTCCAGTAAGTAGTACAGTTTGATGGTTTCCACAATCCACCTGGATAGACGTAAAGAGAGCTTCTTCCCCAACGCAGGTGTGCTATAGGAGACGAACAAGGCTGGTGACTGACGGAATGACATTGTCCTATCAAGGTAGAAGGGTATGGCTCTCTTGACGTCTAGAGTATGAAGATGGTGTTCCTTGTCGCTTGTAGGGGACGGGAAAAAGTCAGAAGAGAGATGTCCGCTCGCAAATGGAACTCAGAAACAACCTTGGGCAGGAAAGAAACATTCGGGGCCAAGGTGACACCATCATGGTTGTCTAGAGTTTCCCACCACTGTAGGAAATTCAGCACTTGCACAGGTAGCATGGACCATTGAGATTGGGGCTACCACTGTGGATGGAAACGCTTGAGAAACCATAGCTGAAGTGGTCTCATCTGTAGTCTGGTAAAGACAAGTACCGCTGTGGTGGCGGCCATTAGACCCAAGAGCCGTTGAATCTGCTTTGCTGATGCATCTCCCTGTGACTTTATCAGGGTGATGAGAGCGATAATGTCTCCTGCCCTTTTGGGAGGGATGGAGGCTCGGCAGAATCCAAAATTGCTCTGATAAACTGGACTCTCAATGAAGGCTGAAAATGGCCTTCTGCAACCGCAAAATGCAAAAACTTCCTGTGAGATGGGTGGATAGTTACATGGAAATATGCATCTTGCAAGTTCAGGGTTACCATCCAGAAACCTTCGCTGAGAATGCTTTGTAATGTTGTCATTCGGAATTTCCGATGATAGGAGATAAACCGGTTGAGTTCCCTGAGGTCCATAATAGGACAGAGTCCTCCGTGTTTTGGGGGGACCGTAAAATAACGGGAATAGAACCTGTATTGATGCTGTGCTGTCAGGACTGGTTCTAAAGCATCCTTTTGAAGAAGGTTCTGGATTTCTTCCAGGAGTGTACTGGATGGTGGGGTAATTATGAAGTTGGGGGCCTCGGGTACCTGGATAAATTCTATGAGGTACCCCTTTTCGATGATGGAAAGTACCCATCAGTCTGATGCCAAGCAGCAAGGTAGGAAGACAGGCAGTTAGGGGTGGGATGACAGGAGTCAAAGGCTCTGCTTGGAACCTTTCAACGTCTTAGCCTTAGGCTGAGAGACGGAAGAGAATTTTGGTTTGTGCCCATAAGGCAGGAAGACACAGTGGGTGAGCGTTGCCACTGTGTTTCTGGGGACAACTTAGGAGAGGATCTGCGAGACCATGGCTTGTTCCAGGATCCAGCTTTGGATAGTTTAGGAGCTGATGTGACTCCTAAATTTCACAACGTCTTTACACTTTTGTTTAGGTCTTGCATGACCGAATCAGTCGTGGCACTGAAACGGCCCTCACCTTCGAATGGAAGGTCCTCAATGAGAGTCCTGACTGTCCTGCGGTCGGGCAGTAGAACGCAACCAGGCATGACGTCGGACGGTAAAGGCTGAAGTCAGCGTTTTGGCGGGCGCATCCAATGTGTGCTTAGCTGCGTTGAGCTGATGCTTAGCCAAAAGCATTCCCTCATTTTGAATCCTGCAACCCTGACTGTTAGTGTCCTCAGGGAAGGTTGCAATAAATTCAGACATCTGCTCCCAAAGAGTAAACTGATATCTGCCCATACATGCCGTATAGTTTGAGGTCTTGATGCCAAGTGCTCCTGCAGAATAAAATTTTATTCCAAACAAATCAAGTTTCCTTCCTTCTTTCTCAGAGGGGGTGGAATGACTGCATCTGCCTTTGGAGGAAGAAGTGACTACAACAGAATTAGGTTTTGGGTGGGTAAAAAGAAATTCAGCACCCCGCTCCTGCACCTTATACATATGATCTACCCTCCGGCTCGAGACGGGGGTAGATGCCGGGTGAGACCATGGGACTTTAGCCGCCTGAAGGAGGACTGAAGTCATCAGTAAAGCAACCGGGGTAGAGGTGTCCAACTGGACGATATCGAACACTGAGTCTGTCACAGTAGGCGGGAGCTGTACTGTAGACAGAGTGAGTGTGTTAGCCATCCACTTGATGAAATCCCCATAGGATTTTAAGTCTTCCAAAGGGGAGATTGGAAGATCATCGCCCACTTGTTAAAGTGGCGAGGGTTCCACCGGAGGATCGGGGTTTTCGCCCCCAGATTGGGAGGAAGCATCTGAAGAGGCGGAGTGCTCAGACGGTTTGGAAAAAGACATAGGTGGCATTGGTATTGATGGAATCGGATCTGATGGATTTTTAAACTTTGGAATTGTCGGGTACGATGGCTTGGAGGGTTTGCCCGTCAGCCTCGATGGTTGGGGCCTCACAAACTCTGGTGTCGATGCAGGATCTCGATACCGGGAGAGACATGAAGAGGCGGACTGACGGTCCCATTCCATCGGTTGGGGTGGGAACTACAGCATACTGCCTGTAAATGGGTAGGCCCCATACATGTATTGCCACTGCCGTTGGTCCCAGGAGGATGGTGGTGGCAGGTGGATCGGTGCCGATGGTCAGTCTTGATCATCAGGTCGGAGCTGTTAAGGATGGACAGATGCATTGGCTCCGCGGTCTGAGTGCAGACTTTCGGAACTAGAAGATCGGGAGATCTGTGTTAAGTCCATATCGTGCTCAGAGTCCATGAGCTGGACAGCGAAGGCGACCGAGGTACACCTTGTGGCTGCTGTCGGCACTGAGAGTCAAGTGAAGCAGCCCCCGAAAGAGTCGATTCTGTGGCCCTTCGAGGAATCAGCGCAGATTGCACAGGGGGAGTTTTCTTATACTTTTTAAGCTTGACTGGCCAACCGTCCTTGCCTTCCCTGCATTTTTTGGAGGGAGTATTGGCTAAGGACTGAGATGTCTGGGCTGAGCGTTTCAGCATTGGGCGGTCGACATCTATGTGAGTCGTATCAGGGACAGCACAGCCGTCGATGCCAGCATCGACATTGACACATGCCCTGAAGTGTCCTGTGACAACATTGGAGAAAGCGCTAACTCCAAAAGGGCAACGCAAAGACTAGCAGCTCTGTTCTTCCTTGTCTGCTTTGAAAACTTCGCACAATAGCACAAGATTTCGCTCGGTGTGATTCCCCGAGGCACAAAAGTCAAAGCAAGTGTCCGTCTTGGGGGGGGGGGCGATCTTGCTGCCGCACTTAAGGCACTGTTTAAAGAAACCCCACCTCTTGGCCATAGGCCAGGAGAGTGGGGAACACACGACAGAGTCCAAAAGGAAATAAATCCATAGAAACAAAGTCCTTTCACTTAACAAAAATAAACAAGAAGAAAAATGAAGAAACTTCAAAGAAAATGAAGAATAGGCCTAAAAGCCCAAATTTTTTACTGACCGAAGCGGAGAAGACCAGCGCGGTGGTCAGAAGAGAACTGGTGGGATTGTCATGCCTCTCCCTTGGTCATGCGCAGTGGGGCCGGTGCGTGACTGAGGAGTGGGTACAAAAATCCCTTTCGCTTTCAAGAGGAACCGATCGAGGTCGGCGCAGGCGCACTATATCCCAGACGTGTGATGCACAGAGGCCACAAAGATCATACAACTGCATCCAAATGTGTGCTTAATCGCTGGCAATTTGTATACTTAACTGCACAGCATCTCTCTCCATTTATGACTAAGTCTGTAACATCAACCTGAATGCTAAAGATTAGCCAGTTAACTTCTTCTGAACAGCACTCACTGCCCCTCAGATGGTGGAGAAAGATGGAGAAGGGCCGCTGAGAAGGCGCTTAAAGGAAGCTTTATTGGCCCTTGATGCAGCCTGGACTCAGACTGCCAGACCTCTATAGGTCAACACGAGCACCTTGAACCAGGCTAGGAAACCAAACGGAGGTCAAGCTCACCCCCAAATTGTTAACTAGGCATTCCAATGCCAGTCTAGCAGCTGCATTTTAGATCAGCTGTAGCTTCTGAACACTTTTCTAAGGCAGCCCCATGGAGTGTGATACAATTGTCCTAATTCAGATGTCACGGGTGCATGAGCGAGCAAAATGATTTTTGTCCAGGGAAAAGGTGCATCTGGCAAAAGACACACTTGGTTACCGGTTCCACCTGGATCAGTACTGGATAAAAGAACCACAGAATCAGAAAGATTCTTAACTACTTCCTCATCAAGGTTGCTTGGTCACCCAGTTTCAAGCGCCTGTTCTGGGTAAAATTCCTCCCTCCTGTTCAGTGGTAAAGATAAACAGAGCTGAGCATCATCTGCATACTGATGATGACAACACGCCCCACGTTTCCTTATTTGGTTACCCCAACAGTTTCACACAGAGGTGAAGTAGGATGGACAAGACAGAGCAGTGTAGATCTGTGAAGTGTAGAGTGACATGAATTTGTGTGTGTGTTTGTTTGTGTGTGTGCAGTCTTCCAAGACAATTTCCTGGAATCCCCCTTCAAGAAAGAACACATCAATGAACCCCATTACTAGCCAGGCAATTCAGGAGGAGACCATGATTGATGTATTTCAAGCAACTGAGAAGCACCTGGCTGCACTGAATGAGTACAAATCCCCTGGGTCAGATGGTATGCACCCAAGACTGCTCAAAGAACTTTACAGAGAGCTCGCAGAGCCTTTGTCGAGCGGGGAGGGCGGGGTATAAATAAAATTAATTAATTAATTAAATAAATAAATAAATAAATAAATAAATCTTCCAGGCCTCTTGGAGGACAGGAGACATGCCACAAGACTGGAGGAGGGCAGATGACCCAGGAAACTACAGGCCAGTCAATCAGACCTCTGTCCTGCGGAAGATACCGGAGCAGATTTCAAAGGGATCGATCTGTGAGCATCTAAAGGACCACTTGGTGATCCTGGGAAGTTAGGATGGATTTGTCCCCAACAGGTCCTGCCCAGACCAACCTCATTTCTTTCTTTGATCAAGTGACGAGCTTACTGGATCGAGGGAATGCTGTTGATGTTGTTTACCTGCATTTCAGTAAAGTTTTGACAGGGTTCCCCATGATGTTCTGATGAGTTAGACTAGAGGACTGTGGACTGGACTCTAGGATAGTTAGGTGGATAGGGAGCTTGTTGGAGAACCACACTCAAAGAGTAGTTGTCAATGACATTCCATCTGAATGAAGGGAGGTGTCCAGTGGGCTGCCACAGGGGCTCGGTTCTGGGCCAAGCACTTTTTAATATTTTTATAAATGATCTGGATTACTCATTAAATCTGCAGATGACACTGAATTGGGAGGAGCAGCAAACACACCAAAAGATAGAGACAGAATTCAACGAGATTTGAACATGCTGGAAAAGTGGGCAGATGCAAACAAGATGCAATTTAACAAGGAGAAGTGCCAAATTCTACATCTGGATAACAAAAATGAGGAACACGCATACTGGATGGGGGGATACACGTCTGGTTAGCAGTGTGTGTGAACAAGATCTTGGGGTAAGGGTGGACTGTAAGTTAAGTATGAGCAGCCAGTGTGACGCGGCAATAAAAAAGGCTAATGTGAACTTGTATCAACAGAGGCATAACATCCAAATCACAAGATGTCATAGTCCCGCTGTACACTGCATTGGTCAGGCTGCACCTGGAGTATGGTGTGCAGTTCTGGACGCCTCACTTCAAAAAGGATGTGGGCAGAATAGATAAGGGTGCAGAGGAGAGTGACGAGGATGATCAGGGGCCTGGAAACCAAGCCCTGATGAGGAAAGGCTAAGGGGAATGTTTAGTCTGGAAAAGAGGAGGCTGAAGGGGGACAGGATTGCTCTCTTTAAGTATCTGAAGGGCTGTCACTTCGAGGAGAGCAGGGAGTTGTTCCTGCTGGCAGCAGAGGAGAGGACTCGCAATAATGGGTTTAAATTAAGGGCAGGAAGGTACCGGCTGGATCTTAGGGAAAACGTTTTGACAGTAAGAGTTGTGCAACAGTGGAACGGGCTGCCTAGGGAGGTGGTGAGCTCCCTCTCGCTGACAGTCTTTAAGCAGCGTCTGGACAAACACTTGCCAGGGATGCTCTAGGCTGATCCCGCACTGAGCAGAGGATTGGACTAGATGGCCTGCCTGTATGGCCCCTTCCAACTCTCTCATTCTATCAGAAGAACTCCAACAAGGATGCACACCAACTGCAGATTGTACACCAGGGTAGCCAACGCAGTTGGAGTCCCCAATCTAGGTTGCAAGCCAGATCGTAAGGCATCCGCATGACCAGTATTATCCAGCAATCCACTCCCATGTGATATCTGAGAAGACTTTAAAAAGCCACCTACGAACCTGTCTTCAAAATAAGTGTCTTTGAAGTTGAGCCACATATATGCCTCTTTCCAGGGAAGTAGCTACCAACAGACTTATATTATTTGTCCAACACTTTACATGGTTTCCTCTGGGGATATTTGGGGAATTACACTCATGTAACTGGGACTACACTCGGGCTAGCAGAAAATGGATCTCAAATTACAGTTACTTAACACAGACCATGCATGGAACAAAACCACATCAAAAAACCCTTGCCATCTTCCAAGAACAAAACCAATTAGTAAGACTGACTTCACATGTTTAATATTTATTTGTAATGATATTTTACAGTTTCCATCAAACATATATTCACATGTGTAATTTGCAGATCCACCTGCCCCTCCTCACATGTACAGACAAGCCCTGACAAGTCACAGATCAGGGTAAGACAGAAGGAAAAGAGCAAACAACAGCATTCAGAGCAGTGTGATGGGGCAGTAAGTACCTTTCTAACAGAGACAGGTTTAGCGGGACTAGAGGCCTGCTCTGTGGGATCGAGCCCTTCAATTGTTTCCGTACAGTCTGAGAGGGGAGCATCCTGTAACAGGAAATTGAGTGAACAGAGCAAACTAAGCTTGGGCTTTTCTTTATTGGCTAAAAAGCAGTACGACATGGGCAAACGAGCATGCAGAAACACAGTTACTAGTGGATGTAGAAGCAGTGAAAACAAAGCAACGTGCACACATTTGTTAACCCCAACCCAAGATGCCCTGGCCACGATGATAACTAGTCAAACTTCATAATGTACATTTGTTGGGGGTTTTTTATGTCAGTTATCACTCAAATTTGCCGAGCCACCATTAGGATAAAGCATAACTTTATCATCTATTAAACAGAAGACATGTAAGGTAACACCTTCAAATTCATGATTCTCATGAATCTATCATTTGTAACGAAGATTTTATTTGTGATAAGACTATTCAGTTAACAATAATGGATTTTCACTCTGATTTTCGAATCCAATCAGAGACATAAAGCCTGACTAGTTCAGAAGGGGGTTTCTAGCCTACTGAAAAGCAGCCTGGGCGTCTCATGCACTGCAATGGTGGCTGACTCATGCTTCTGCTACAGTTCTGACCCTAAGCAAGGTTGCAAAGACAGCAAAATGTTACCTCTACCACTTACCTTATAAACAGTTACTCTCTGTCAATTAAAGAATAATTTCATAGTGATGCATTAGGTGACAGCAGGAAGATACCTCAAATTAACTCTAAGCTGGTATTTTAAGTAGTTCTTTGTCCTCACCTGTACAAAGTTTCTGTCCACAACAACCCCAGAAAGAAGCTGTGACTGGGGACCAGCAGTTTTAATGTCTTGCAAGTTTTGCTCCCGGATCTGTAAAAGACAACTAGCATGAAGTTTATTACAAATAGCAGAAAGAAACAGGTTCATGTGTCTAATCTACATGTGTCTAATCTACATATGAGCCACAGAATGGGACTCCCTCCATTTTATACTCAGCGGAGTTGGTTCAGGTACATAAAGAATCAGTTCCATCAGCTACCCTTTACTGAATTTGATTACGCTCCCAGGCAGTCAAGAATCCTGCACTAAACTCCGGATCTGGGACTGCAAAGTTGCAGGTCTCATCTTTGCCACACGTTTGGTAGGAAGGTGTCACTTTAAGGCATTTGCCGTTGCAGAGCAAAGGCAGGACAGAAGGGAACTCCTCTTAAAAGCAGAGGGACAGATCATCACAGCTGTGAACATGGGAGACCTGCACTGATGTCATTACAGGACATTACAGATAGGATTAATCAGGGGTCTTGTTGTAGAAAAATAGCTGCCGGAGCTCATTAGCATAACTCATTAGCATAACTTATTTGCATATGCCACGCCCCCTGACATCACCAGAAGTGACAGAAGGCCACACCCCCTGACATCACCGGAAGTGTGTCAGAAGGCCCGGCTACTTACCCTCCTGCTTCATCCTCATTCCCAAACGGAATGAGGATCGAAGCAGAGGGCGGGGTAAAGAAGGGGGCGGGGCTTCACCACGTGACCGCCCCGCCCCCTAGAGGTTCTCTTCCGGAGCTCCGTACCTGAGAGCTCCCCCCCGACTAGAGCCCTGGGATTAATCAGGCCTCATCTAACTGCTCAGCACCTGGGAAAAGATTCTCGTGCCCTTTCCACAGCATCCAATTATAATCCCGCTTTAAAACAATATTTCAGGGAATGCTAGATGCTCCATTATAGAAGCTCCATTTTCACACTTTTCATATCTCAAGAAAACTTTTCATTGAAATGCAAACACGCTTTCAAATGCTTCTCTTTTGATTGGGCATAGACAAGCATAACCGACAACTGTTGTAACTAGAGCTTTAAGCAGACTGCATCAAGAAAACCCTCAGAAGAGTGTATACAGACAGCAATTCAAAGAGGAAGGCAGTATCAGGGTCTCAAATTTCATAACTACAGTTATCACTGTTATTTCTGGCCACTGTGTGACACAGAGTGTTGGACTGGATGGGCCTTTGGCCTGATCCAACATTGGCGTCTCTTATGTTCTTATGTTCTTAAGGAGGAAATGATCCATGAACTGTGGGGAGACAAGCTATTATAAAAGAAAGGGCTGAGAAACTTTGAGGATATAAATAGGGGGCGGGGGGGAAGAGGTGAGGAATGATTGATCTCTGCTATGTTTTGTTTCTTTAAAGTTGCTACCTCAGCAGCATATCTGACACCTTTAGGCAATGTCAAGAGGGACTGTGTGATTCTAGAGGGAGAAGATAAGCCTTGCAGGTTACTAGGCGAAGCTGAAAAGGCAAACCCCACCCAGAAGGAGCACTTGTCCTGACAGGGAGGCACTGATAAATGTATGTTCTTGACTTTCTCCCTGTTCCCCCTGACCGTCACCTTTTCCACCAAGCAATTACACCACTCTCTGTAGTATACCTGAATGATACTATTAGCCACAAGGTATAGATAGGGGCTCTGGGGCAAGTGATGCTCTGTCATCTTGGTGCTTGGGGGGGGGGGGTAAACAGTGGGAGGGCTTCTAATGTCCTGGCCCCACTGCTGGACCCCCCACTGCTGGACCTCCCACCCAGAAGGAGCACTTGTCCTGACAGGGAGGCACTGATAAATGTATGTTCTTGACTTTCTCCCTGTTCCCCCTGACCGTCACCTTTTCCACCAAGCAATTACACCACTCTCTGTAGTATACCTGAATGATACTATTAGCCACAAGGTATAGATAGGGGCTCTGGGGCAAGTGATGCTCTGTCATCTTGGTGCTTGGGGGGGGGGGTCAACAGTGGGAGGGCTTCTAATGTCCTGGCCCCACTGCTGGACCTCCTGATGGCACTGGTATTTCTGGCCACTGTGTGACACAGAGTGTTGGACTGGATGGGCCTTTGGCCTGATCCAACATTGGCATCTCTTATGTTCTTATGTTCTTATGATACCAACCAAGGGAAATTTAACATTTCTCAATATTAAAAAAATCCCCCAGCATCCCTCAACATATGCATATTTTATACTATTAAAAAAACTATCAAAATCATTCAGATATGTCAGTACAAACCTTGTTCCTCATTTCTTGGACCTCCTTTGGATTAGTGTTCAATGGAACAAATAAATTTGGGACAGCAGAGGAGGCAGTTCTGTGTCCATCCTCTTTAGTCCACTGCAATATCAAGAACAATTACATACATTAAAATCACTAAAATGGCTAGAACACCCACAGAGGCAACTTGAGAGCACATTAAACCATGCATTTATACAACTGAGAACTGAATCAATGACTACAATCCAGTATTTGTAAAAGCACAACCTCTCCCCTACAGTGAAATGGCTCTCATACACTGCATTTTAGTATACTCAGAACCAATTAGGAAATATTAAACTATAAAAATGAGTGAGCAGAGAACTGAGAAAAGCACTTGTGGCACAGGCAGCCTGAATAATCAGCAGACGCAGATTTAAAGCACTCTCCGGAAGTGCACAGGTTTAACCTAAATCAGATGGAGAGACGTCAGTGTGACTGCAAAGATTCTAAAACTGCCTTTTATGTCTCCCATCATTGATTCACTTCCCTGAAACTCAAACACACACCAAAGTCAACAGAAAGCACAAGATGACAGGAATGTGAGAAGCAATATGATATCAGCAACCAGATCAGGTGAATGATTTCATAGGTGGAAAAAAAGCATCACCAAAGTTTTGAATTCAAAACAAAATTCAGAATGTTCTGTTTTCAGAATTGTTTCTGCACAGGCAAACAGATGGTTCTGCCTAAGGGAAGAGTTTGGTGATGTCAAAATATTTTATATAAAAGCTTACAGCTTAAAAGATTACGACAACAACAACAAAAAAAGACCCCAGACACAAAGCACTTCATGACTTGTTCGCAGGAGGCTGTTTGATATGGCCAGTGCATTTTGTCTATCAGGATGGGGGCTTTGTGCCACAAGTACAAGCATTTGTCTTTTACAATAATTTAGGGAAATGCTCGGCTTCATTCATTACGTCCTAATTGGTACTGCACAGAAAATGCACTGGACACTGAAACAAACCTGTTTTGCACAGATGCTAACCCCCGCCCTGAATAATTTTGAGACAAAAAAGATAGCCAGAAATAGAACTCTTCAAAAGCAACACAATTTTAAAATGTTTTGCAAGTATGAAGTTAAAAAAAAGGAATGAACATGGAGCTATGGATACTCACTGGTTTTTATCTTTTCACGTAAAAATAACTCCAGGTTTTTATTAAAGATATTTAACAACAACGTTAAAAACCTTAGCATAACTGAAACTTTCTAAAAACTAAAGGCATTAAAAATTAAATATACAAACCAGGAAAACTGCATGACCGCTACAGGTTGCTCTAGCAAAATATTAAAAACACAATGATGTTTTTAAGCACTACTTTCATTCTATGATACTTTCAAATAGTGTTCAAGCAACCAAACAAAACCCTGTAAACATTTTCAGGGCAGTGCCATTGCCTAGAACAAAAAAAGCGGCTTCAGGGCTTGACAGTTATCAAGTAAAGAATGCTAGTTAATCTACACCAAAAAGGAAAACAAAATCTCTACACAATCAGACAATGACTCCTTCCTGTGCTTTCTTCATGGACGTTCCAATGATTCAATATTTCCCAAGAGCTACTACACTCCCTCCTTAATAAGTTCTGAAAGGGAAAAGATAGCAATCAAAATTGAGGGAAATTTTTTACCTTCCCTTGAGGGTAAAAAAATGTTACGCAGAGGAAGACTGGAACTAAAAGTCTGAACAGTATGATTTTACATACTTGGAACCGCTATTACTTAGAATGGTTACAGACAGATATCTGGAGAACATCCAACATGCTAGGAGCGTTCTGTAGTAACAGTGGTTCGCTTTTTCCTAATGGATCCATTTGGGGCTTTGCCAAGTTCTGTTCATAATACTTAACCTTTAAATATTAGAAAAACACAATGGCCACGAGAAAGATGAAGTGCCATATTTCCTATTTACACTCTAAACTAGGTGATGTTTTTCAAGTCACTTCCGTGTGTTGAGCCCAACTTTCATTAATGTTGAATGCTCAGGGACGCTCAGGTGCCCAAGCGGCCCAGCGCAGCCTGGTCTTACCAGAGCTTGGGAGCTAAGCAGCGTCGGCCCTGGTCAGTACTTGGATGGGAGACGACCAAGGAAGACCTGGATTGCTATGCAGAGGAAGGGAATAGCAAACCACCTCTTGTTCATCTCTTGCCTGCCCTCACGGACGGGGTCACCACCATGAGCTGGATGAGACTCAACAGCACATTCTTCTTCTTCTTCTTCAGGTGCCTCGCCTAGATGGATAAGCTCACTTAGGGAAGCTCACAGCAGCAGTACAGAAACAAAACAGAATATCTACCAAAATGGTGGGTCGGCATTACTTTAGAAAAGATGGCAATTCTGTTCAATTTGTTGTGAGCAAGTTATCACAATACAAATACACCAGATGCCTAGAATATTTCTTAAAGGCACAGGTCCAAACTATTCCATTCTCTATATCAGTGACACCCACTCAGTGGTAGAGAGCCACCTGTGGCTTTTCTGGGTACTGTTCTCCCACAAGGCATCTCCACCATGTCCCACGAAACTAAGCAAGGCCACTGCCCTGAAAGGCTTCTGGGAGGTGTCACCCCAAGACAGCTTTATTAAATAAATGTCTTGCCTTTGCTTTAATTGGGAAATTAGCCACAAAGGCAGAACTAGCAAGTGGCTGGGGTATAGCATGAATCTGCTATCAGTTTTTATGGAGATAGTCCCTTTAAGACCCCTGGTAGAGTCAATGATCAGTCCAAATTGTAAAACAAATGGGTTTTATTAGGGAAAATTAATAAATTGGGTATTTACACGCAATTCAGAGATCACAAGCATACAAGAAGAAATAAGTTATCAGACAAACAGAGGGGGTTGGGCAAATCAGGGTAATAATATACCTATCCCGAAGAGGTGAAGAAATCCAGGGGTTGAAGAGAGAAGATGCGTGGACCTGACCAGCGAGACCATGGAGGACCTGAGTTATGCTCAGGGGTTGGCTTTGTGCGTGCTCAGCTACATCACACGGTCAAGACCATGTGCTTTGGTGTCTATGGGCATGGGGAAACAATGGAGACCAATGGGAGGTCTTGAGCGGCTTGGCCCAGATGAAGATTACCTGGACCAATGAGAGGTCCCAGGGGGTTCGACATCAGGAGGGGTGTAACCAATGGGGCTTCACAATAGCTTTGACTAGATCAGCCAGGTGCTAGATGGCTGGGCTGGGAGTGTCTAAGGGTTCCCAGGTAAGGGACAAAAGACTAGATATATCTTGGTGGGATTTATCAGTGGTACAATAATGTCACTTTGGGAACATGGTGATGAGTTCCCAGGTCTGGACAACAGGAAAAACAGGTTGCCTGCCTGTAACTGATGATCTTCGAGTGGTCATCTATGCATTCACACCTATGGGTTAGGCGCTTGTGCTGACTCCGATTTAGGAAACCTCTATCAAGCTCAAAAGGATCTGGAGCCCCGCCTCCGAGCATGCACAGGGACTCCACCACGCATGCCCAGAGGGCGGGGCCCCGGAATCCCACCAGTTCCTTCTGACCGCTGCCAACTCCAAAGGAGAAAAAAAAACCAAGGGGCTGACAGCAGTGGGGAAGGAGGGCGGGTGATGTGAATGCATAGAAGACCACTCGAAGATCATCAATTACAGGCAGGCAACCTGTTTACCTTCATTGTGGTCTGTGTGTATCACACCTATGGGAGATTAGCAAGCTCAGGCCTACCTGGAGGAGGGTGCTGGCAGCATCTCAGGAAACTACAGACTGCAGAATCGATCAGCCCAATAAAGAACGATGTTGTGCACGCACATCCACAGCGTAATGTCTGATGAACATATTCGGGGTGGCCCACGAAGCTGCTTGGCAGATATCTTGGAGGGGCACCCCCTTGAGAAAAGCCATGGAGGTCGATATCGCACGAGTAGAGTGGGCCCCGGGCTTAACAGGTAGCGGCCTCTTATCTAAGAGATAGAAGAGCTTTATGGTTTCAACAATCCACTTGGACAGCTTCTGGGTCGAGATCCTCTGGCCCAAGGAATGTGTGGCGTAGGACAGGAAAACGTGAGGGTCTTTTCGAAAACTACGCGTCCTGTCCAAAGAGAATAAGCGCACCCTCTTAACATCCATAGTAAGCCACAGGCCTCGACGTCTGATGTGGGGTTTGGATAAAAATTGGGCAAGAAGACTTGTCTGTGCAAGTGGAACTCTTAGGCAAGAAAGTGATGTCCGGTGTCAGGGCTATGCCATCTGCCAAGAATGATAGGTAGGGACTATCATGCCTAAAAGCTAGGAGATCACTTACTCTACCAGCTGATGTAACCACCACCAAAAAAGTAGTTTTCCATGACAAGAAATGCAGTTCGCACATGGCCATCAGTTCAAAAGGTTTGCCGGTGAGTTTGCGTAATACAGTGGGTAAATCCCAGTGCTGGGCTGGCAGTTTAAGTGGAGGATATAGGTGTAGTAAACCGTTCAGGAATCTTTCAGAGTCTGGATGAGCAAAGACCAAGGTATTGTCTACTCTGCTGTGGAAAACTGAGATAGCAGCCAGCTGAACTCTGAGTGAAGAATGACTGAGTCCAACCTCCGCGAGAGACAGAATGAATTCAAAGATCCGAGGGAGACCGATTGAGGTAGGATCGCTCACATAGGGCTTTAAAAGTAAGAACCAGCACCTTGAAGCGAACTTGGTATGCTATTGGCAGCCAGTGCAGTGCTTTTAGCGCAGGCTGGATGCGCCCCCACACAGGGAGACGCAACAACAGCCTGGTCGCTGCATTCTGCACCAGCTGCAGCTTTCGGATTTGGGAAAAGGGCGGCCCCATATAGAGAGTATTACAGTAGTCCACTCTTGAGGTGACCACTGCATGGATCACTGTTGCCAGATCATTGTGTTCAAGGAAGGGAACCAACTGCCTAATCAGCCACAGATGGTAGAAGGCTGACTTTGCAGTGGCTGCTACCTGGGCCTCCATCGTTAAGGAGGCATCCAGGAGCACTCCCAAGCTCCTAACCTCTGTCACTGGCACCAACGGCACCCCATCGAAGGTCAGGAGTGGAATCCCTAACCTTGGACTGCTCCGACTCAGGCACAGGACTTCCG